ATTTTTGAAAATCTGAAAGCGCTCAAATTTCCAAATGCTTTCGCAGCTGTAATTGCTTTCAGAAAAAAGTTCAGTAAAGTGCATTGCAAAATTGTAGTATTGCTATACGTCACGCTCATCAGGATAGCAATTACGGTGATTAATAGTTTCTTGTCCCCTTCATGTAATTTAGTGAAATTATACAAAATTTTTTGGAATTTTCAAGTAAAGAAAAATGAGGAGCTCGACGTTCTTTAAAAAACAAATTGTCTGATAAGATTTCATTTAACAAGGTCTAAGCTTAGATGTTAAAGTTTGTTATGTGATTGAGTAGGTAATTTTTTGAATTTTGTGGGAGTCCGAATGGTTTGGGTTCGCAAGAGTTAAAAATTCTGCTGTCTATCATAAACAAAGGTGGATCGTAAGCGTTTTGATATTTGAGCTTATTTCTGAATAAAGAAGCATCAATATTCGGTAAGTGAATTAGTGAATATTATATTTGTGAAATATATCTCGAGCCAGTATTGATGTGAACTACTGTTGAAGGAATGTAAAGTAATAGTCGAGCCTCGAAGATATGTACGACTATGCGTCTTTGGTTTGTTTTCATAGTCAAATTTCGAATGGGCGATGATCTTGATAAATATGTAGTTGTTCTGACTATGCGAAGTTCTTTCTTGGCCTTTATCTATCGTTTCCATTGTGTAAAATCTATCAATCACTTTTAACGTCAATAAAGAAAAACAGCTACATGCATGAAATTCCCCATGCATAGATTGAAAATATAATGTTATCACATTCTCTTACATGGCAGTCAATAACTATTTATAAAAAAACAATGGAAAATTATGCCAATACCAAAAGAGATGTTTTCAATAAACAAATGGGATTGCTTGTTCAGAGATGGAACAATAGCGTGCATAACAAATTGTGTGGCATAGGCTAACTCTTCTCACAATCAGTAACCTCAAAATACTGTTTGCATTCCTAGCACTTCATCACTGTATATTATCCGATTGTCTTCAGTGACAAATACTGGCGGACCGAGGGGGCCTTCCCCGAGAATGGGTAGCTATATTTTTGAAATTTACTTACAAGGGCTATGAAAATGTGCAAGTGAATTTTTTAATCTTGTAACTGAATAAAATAATATTTAGAGTTTTTTGAATTCCAAATTAGCCTTGTAAAAGAATTTTCTGGGGGGACAGCTGCCGCCGGAAAACTCCTCCCTTCTTCTAGATTTCAGGAACTATATATCCTCAAAAATTTTGAGAAGCACCCCAAAATTTTCGAGTGCGGGGTGAGGCCAAAAAATTTCTTCCCCGGACGAAATTCTGGGAGCGCCACTGCTAAGAAAATATCTATTCATCTATTTATTTTGTTTGCTATACGTTCGCACGCCACAACTCATTATTGATTATAGACTTCTATCACATTTTCAAAGGGAAAAGACAAAATAAATAACAATAAAAGTTCTAATCAACTCAGAATCAGTCTAATTTGTTAAATATAACAAGTGCATAAGTTAACTCAAGCAGATATTGCCAAAATAATGAAACTCAATCAAATTTGATAATCAAAGTGCTAGTTGTCCGAAAAATCTAGGAAAAACTCTTTCACACAGGATTGGTTTAGTTCCGATAATGAAGACAATCTGAATAATCTTTGTACAAAAAATTTTTAATTTTTTGAAACTTGCCTAAGCCGAAGTCTGCGGAAGTTAAAAAGGTGTATTTTGAAGCCTTTGGTACTTCTGGAAAAATTATCGCATTCTGACTTAGTCGCGATAAATAGTGGCTACAACGCAAATAAAGCATTTTCAGAAATTCTGTGGAACATTGAATCTCTAGACTTTAGTTCATTGATAGATTTGTTATCTTTAGAATCATCAATCTGAGAAAAGTTATAACATTCCGGCGGTTCTGTCACGGTAGATACGTCGCAGTGGAAAACTCATCGCAATTCTTCCTTTCCCGAAAGTTAAGAGCTCATTCGTGTGTGCCAAGCATTCAACCAAATGTGGCTGTTTGAGACCGAATAGTCACCACCAACCTCATGCTTTCCTCAGTTTGTCCGCTGACAGGCACTTCTCGTTTACGGCCTCGCCCGTCCTTTCATCGCGTACGATTCTGGCACCTCGCTCCGATCACATAACTCCGTTTTCTATTCATCGTGCTCGAATTCAATCAGTCGCGGCTTTTCGCCCATTTTCAGCGATTGTATAGCTAAGCGCTTTTCGAGAGCAAGAAATTCTGTGCTTTGGATCCGTTAATGCTTGCGCTTCGTACCACCTGTGCCGCTGCTATATTTTCCAAACAAAAAATGTTTACTGCACTTGGCGATTTTATGAATGTTCCAAGTGCTCCCGTCCATGTTTATGGAAGTACAGATTGTTGCAAGCGCGCTCACACAATGAACTTTTTTAGTCCCTCGTATCAAAGCTGACACGAGTTCACAGTTTTTTGAGCGGAGCAATCAAACTGAAAAGATTCAACTTTTTGAAGTTACAAAAATTAAGATTTTCAAAAGCAATATAAAATTTTAACTCCGAAGTTTCATAGCCTCGCCAACAAATGCTTGCGTGCTTGAAAATGAATAATTCTTTTGATCCAATTATCCTGCTGAAACTCAAAAAAAGTAGAGACGGCAGCCAACCTTCGATTTCTTAGCCTAATGTTGATTCGGATAGAATTCAAAAAATGTTGATTGCGCTCAAGTAAAAGCAAGTCAATTGCATGATTTTGTTGCTTATGCACACCCCTTCCTCGCAGTCCTCCCCTCCCAAGGTCTATGTTAGGGCCACTGAGGTACGTGTGAGCCTTTCAGTTTGAAAGGCGCTAGTGAAACAATCACGACTTGAACTTCTTTGAATCTCTGCAAACAAATTTCAACTTGCAGATATTCATTTTGCATCTTCTTCATTGAGGCAGCTCACTGATTTTCCCAGAACTTTGTAGCAAATGTTAAGCAGTAACAGCAATATTGTATTCTGTCTAGACTACATGCGGCATGGTTGTGCTTTTCGTAACGTTTTCCAGACATACGTTGCGATAGACGAACTGATTATGCAGCGCGATTATTTTAGCTATAAAAGGCTTCTCAAAAAAGCCATCGTGGAGGTATGAAGCTTGATGCCATTCATTTGACGTGATGAAGCTGTAGTCGTCGTTCTCACCTTCCCCACCTTTGGCTCTGGCGCAACGCTCATTCATAAATGTATCACTCAAGCGAATAACTTTTTTTGCCACGCTGGAGACACTTTTCGCTTTGACTGAGTTTAGTACCTATGACCAGCGGGGCATCATGATATAAAATTGAAGTATTTAGAAAACATCAAAAGCCTTTGAACTGAGCCTAAGCCTGCTTGTAGGTTTCGATGTCCGATGCATGTCAGAAATGTCATCACCTCAATTTTTGTTTCTTCTAGCTCTAACAACAAATCGAAAAGTCAGCCTCTAGTTAGTGCTCATCGTTGTATAAGCGTGAAAGCAAGACTGTGCATGCGGCCAAAGTGTAGCATTACTCTCAGTAAATTCTTTTCAGTTTCTTTGCTTACTGGCATTTTTGGATTCCTAGCGCCAAAACAGAATATTTTCTGCTCTTTTCTGCACACGTGATTAAACTTTAATAGAACAGCCTGCTGCACCAGAGAGAAAAGACAAAGACACCCCAAACAAACAGCTACCAGCCACTTCTATATGTCAGGAAGACTGTGACATGCTTATAGGTAAACAAGTCAGAAAGCCCTAAATTCAATAGAATATGAATGGATTTGAATTCCTGCATGATAAATTGCCGATCGCTTTCTTCAAGCATTGGTCGAACTTCTTTCTCTCGAGATTATCTCAAGTTCGAAAAAGGCACTTAGCCTCCAGAGATTGCAAAGCACGCAGGAATAGAAAATCATCATAAAACTTTAACTTCGGTCTATGCACGTCGCTGCGGAACGCCATATTTGGTTGGCAACAAAATGAACTTGTTTGTTTTGTCATTTTTTTAAGCACATAGTCTCCTAAACCGTTTTGGTAGATATTATTTGCTCAGCCTCCACACAGCCATTTTTAGAGCAGACAATTGCATTGACGAACTCAGTTGCTGGAAAACTTTGGCTTAATAATTGGATTTGGGCTGATGTTTTTTGAAGAAAATTATAATGCAAACTTTCGTTAGGTTGTTACACGAGTTTTGTTGTAAGAAAATATTTTTCTTAGGTTCAAATTTGTAAAGATAGGTTTTTCAATAGATGCTTGTCACACTTGAAAATCCAATTCTCGAATTCTCGGTAGTCCTTTCGGAAAATCTTGACGCTTGTTAAACGTTTTAGAACTCAAAGGGGTTTTTTTATTAGAAGATGTTCCCAGTAATTCTTCCAAAAGGAGGAAAATTTCTAGAAGAAGAGACAGTAGAGGATGAAGTGCCTTTAGAAATCACCTTTGAATCCGTAATTCATGCCCGTAAAGGTGAAAATGAAGCCAATGAATAGCCCGTTATTCTTTCGCCACTTAAGCCAGATATGAAACTCAGGTTTCCAGGTTTTTCAGGGAACTGCAGAAAAATGCAACAACGCTCTTTTGCGAATTGGAATTTACTGTATACTTTTGTATAGTCTCTATATTTCATATAATGTGCGCAATGCTCAAATTTGTCTTAGATTCAACAATAAAATGCCTCTGTATCCGAGTCTTCTAACAAGAAAGGCAAGAAGAAAGGCACATCATCTTCTCCCCCCTCCCCTCCCACCCCCAGTTCAGAATTGCTTCATCCCGTATGCATTCCAATCTCAAACGCCCTTCACACCCCCAGCTCTCCATTTCGTTTTTGACCGCGGTGTCGAACTTTTTGGCTGCTCATCTGCAGCGAATTCACACGGGCACCCGCAAGGCCATTTGCATTTCTTTGTAGTACTAATTAGCGCGCTCAACAATTTCGCAGATCGTTCGTGCTTTGGCGCGTCACTCGCACCGGCAATTGTCTCGCCATTCGCAGCCACAGAAACTCTCGTCTAATCCTATTTGGTCGTCTTTCAGTCACATGCACAACGATGGAGCCGTCGCTCGACAGTCGCGGTAGTCACTAGGCTGGTCTACTGGATGAAGAGATGCCCTCAGTGGCTTCGCCGCTGGTGATAGATGACTTCCTCGCCCGGGAGCGGCTCATGAGTGATGAGACGTCGTCGAATGGCCAGAATTCACTGAGAACCTCGCGGTCATCCTTGATAAGGAGGAAGTAAGCTTCATGAATTTGATCAACTATTGAAAAACAGTGCTCCATATCTATCAGTCAAAAGCAAAGTAGACGAGCTTGGTGATCCCATTCGTACAGCAATTCTGTTGCCTGATTCGCAGTGTCTCGTTCCTAGAAACGTCAGCTCTCCCATATTATTGGCTACAGAGAAATTTATAATTTGTTCCAAAATATCCAATAAAACTTTTTGATTTACTGTATACTTTTAATAACATATTAAGAATGTTTTACCATATATAAGAGTTCTTTTTGGAATAAAATCAAAGAATGTGAAAGAAATTGATAGTCATAACTATTTGGAAGTATTTGAAACAAAAGTACCATTGTTTCAATTAGACGTTTCAGCAATTTTAGCTATCGAAATTTAAAAAAACAGAAATTTAGAAAGGACCTTTTGAGGTTCATCTCTATCAGCCTGTATAGCTGAGATGCCAATTAGATATTTTGATTCAAATACTTCTAGAATGCACAGGATCTTCTTTCTCTGCCAAATGTCAAGTAAAACAATTTCGTTGAAGATAGGAACTTTATTTTAGGTTTCCAGTAATTTTGACACGAGACTTACATACCAACCTAATGCTTGAGCAAGATGATCAATTCTTCTATACAGGAAGTCTGGTGAACATCGCGACCAATGGCTGCCCGTGGCGTTTGCTGCCTCGCTTTTTGGAATTTTGGCTACCGTCAGTCTGTTGTTTGTCATGGCTCTCATAGCTCTCAGACACAAACCGTGTGAGGAGCAAATATCCCCAAATATCGTTCATCTGCGAGAAAATAGGGAGGAGGTCAGTTTTCACTTTTGCTGAGTGTTTTAAGTTAGAGTTTTATGAATCATCCTTTGAATATCATCATGCTAAGACGCACAAAAATCTTCATCCATAATGAGTTTTGTCTATGCCATTATATCATTATAACTGAGCTCTTCACTTTTTTTTCGTCTCGACGTAACTATCGCGCAAAACCTATGGTAGAAGATAATGCTAAACTCTGGAGTCCAACGATCTAGTCTAGGATGCAAATTTCAGAAATGTATTTTTTCCTGTTGCAACGTATTTATCACGAGGAAAACGTGGCAGTGCGATAAGATCTTCCAACACAAGTTTCATGAAATTGCGAATAATTTTTTGATATCTATCGAATTTCTGACTTAGATGATGCTCCAATAAAAAAGCTCTTGAAATACATTCAGTGATCATTTATATAGAACGTTTTGAACATAGGTCAAATTCGAAGAAATTCTGATTAGTTAGAGAATTTATTTTGGTGTAGAGACAATAAGCTTGTGTGTTGTGTACGTACACCCTTTGCTTTACATTAGTCGTTGAAAATGCAGGATAGTCCTCATTTTATAGCCATTTTTGTCTTGAATATGTGTATATAAATACAGTGATTGTACATACCGAAAGACATAATATCTAATGGTATGTTCCATACTTGCAAAAAAAATTATCGTAGTCGTTTCTGACAGTTTGCAGAATTGCTACAAACATATCTCTGTAGGATTATTTGGTAATAATGAAAAGCAGTTTGAGAAGGATCACTGAGTAAATCTATTAAATCAGCAAGTTTCTGAAAAAATTGAACTACTCAACCTATGTGTAGAATTCACCACAATTTTATAAAACGAAAATCTCAAACTACAGATTGCAAACTGCAATATTGTTCATCATGCAGCCAATCGAGAAATTACTGTACTTCGCATGCCTGAGCATGATAATGTAAGAACTGAAGTGAATATGGAGAGATGGATAAGCCATAATCTAGTTGTGATTTTCTATCAAAGCAAAATTTTCCACGCTCGTATTGTCTCAAGAATCTCGCAGAGATTCGTGGTCACACGTCAAAAATATTTGTATTTATACTCACAAGATTTTACTGCAGATTTTTCCACATGAAATCCTTTTCAGCTTGACCGTATCTCACAACAACTTTCATCAACATTTGACCCTGCAAGAATAAAAGAGAATCTTAGATGGATGGCGCAGACCTCGCACATCGCAGGAACCATCGAAAATGCTGCTATCATAAGGCGATTGGCTGATGAAGTACTGTAACAAGAGTAGCTGCCAATAGTCACTTACTCTTTGTTTTTCCAGTATATTCGCCTTGGTTTCACAGTAAAAACCTACAACTACAGTGTACTTCTCAACTACGCAGACTTCGAACGTCCGAACACCGTCGAAGTGGAGGAAGAAGACGGAACTTGGTTGCGTTTGAGTCGTGGACGCGGTCATCCAAGTGGACCTCCTCAAGCCGTCAATGAGGTCGTTCAGCAGACTAATGTTGCATACAAAATCACATTGCCTTTGAGCTGCAGTTTAGCACCCAATTTTCGCGTGGGAAGGGTTTTGATGTGTACGCGAAACAAGTTCTTTTCAGCATTTGGACGGTCGATCAGAGGTTTGGTGGAATGCCTACTCTGCCAATGGTTCCGTCGAAGGAAGGATTGTGTACTGCAACTTTGGAACTTTCGAAGATTTTAGGATATTGGAAGAGGTACACGGAGAAAAATTTGCACCAAAATTCTTAATTCAAGTTTTCTCCAGATGGGTATCAGTGTCAACGGTGCGGTCGTGCTAATAAGGTACGGTGGCCTTGTGAGGTCGGAGAAAGTCATCGAGGCAGAGAAAAGGGGTGCTATAGGAGCAATCCTTTACAGCGACCCAGCTCAATACGTTACATCGAATAAAAATGCTGTAAGTCGTTCAATACGAGAATTTTGAATAGCAGAAGTTGACTTATACGCCAATTAAAAGATTAAAAAAACTTTTAATTGATATCAAACTAACATAATGATATTAATTTTTACAACAATCATCTTGATCTATGAAATATTGAATTTTCAACGCCAATTGCGAAGACATAAAGGCATAATTATAAACATTTTCTAAATGGAACTCCAAATCCAGTTTGAGAATGGAATATGCGCATAGTATCGTTTTCAAAGATTACCATTCTCAGTGATTCAAACTTAACCGGCAGTGAACGAGAGCTGAGTGAGGGAGGTGAAAGGGTTTCGTCTCCAACAAGTGTCGCGAAATTTGAAAAAAAAAAGCCTACATGAGCTGAAAAATGTGATGCTGACTCGCTTTCGCTCGTATGCTTAGAATAATTCTCAAAATTTTCGCATGTCAATCAGGCTTTGTGAGTAAGTTCCTTCTAAATTTGAGTAAGCGGACTTGTTAAAGGTCTTTGCTGACACCACTTCCTTTCATTCGAATAAATTTCTGTCGCCTCTTTTCCAAACAGAAATAAGCTCAGATCGCCACTAGTAACCACTCATTCAACTCTGTTCAGACATTCCCAAATTCTTCCTCTCTTCCTGGTTTCGCTGCGCAAAGAGGTTCACTTGGCAGAGTTCCAGGAGATCCTCTCACACCGCTCCTGCCCTCCCTTCCGTACGTCACTCGAACGGAAACTATAGCAAGCTTGAGGAGAAAAAGTGCGTCACTTATAAACTAGTTTTGTATCAAGGAAAGTTTTTTAGGACTGCTTCCCGATATACCCGTCACTCCAATTGGATATGACGATGCTCAAAAAATTATGGAATATATGGATGGACCGGTTGTCACGGTAAAGATTTTATAATATACCAGAAATCTCGACCAGATCATTAGCATATCAAAATTTCCTAAGCTTCAGCGTGCAGACTGGATTGGAGGACTTTCTACCTATAAATGGTTTAGTCAAAGAAAATTCCAGCTTAATGTACGTTCCAGGTTAGTTTTGTCGGAGCTGCTTTAGGTAGATTAGCAAGCGTGCAAACAAATCCTCGGATTGCATTTGTTTTTTCTCACTTGAGTCGAGCCCGTGAGAACATTTTTGCAGATTTGCAAAGCGAACGATCACGAACATCATCGCGATGATGGAAGGGATCAAGGAGCCTGATCGATGGGTGATGGTTGGAAACCATGTGGATGCTTGGGGCAAGGTGGTTTTTTCTGATTAAATGTCATGTGAAAGAAAGGTCTGATTTACATATGCGTAATGAGATGGCACTTCAATGACTCTCCTTTCAAGATTCGAGCAATTTTTCAAAATCTCTCGTGCCAGAACTTGTTTTTATCATAGGTAGGTAAGAAGAATTTGGGACATTTTGGGCTAACAAACTTATCCAAATGCTAGTGAAGTTAAAGATTGAAACAGTACTCTTGTAGTTATGGGTACACATTCAAATATGTGGGAGAAGTCCAGCGCTAAAATGGCGGTGTTTGCCACTTTTTCTTGTTTTTAAGCAAGAATTTCATACGATTGTGCAAGTATGCATGTATGTGGGTGTCTATGATATAACGTGTCCCAAAATAATGTATCAAACATCTGATTTCTTATAACTCCTTGTATGAAAAGCCGTCGCCTTCCTTGAAACAGCATATCGTGGAGGTTCAATAGATTTGCAATATAAAGCAAATGTCAGATGTCTTATTGACAGCTAGTGCATACCTACTTATAATTCCGTGGAAAGTCTGTGCTTGAGAACTTTCTTTTTTCCTTAATGATAATTACGTAATGTAACTTCTGCAAATCAGGCTAAGGTTCTTGAAAAGCTTTCAAAGTAAAATCGGACTCTCATCGGAAATGCTGATTGTGTTTAGGGCGCAATTGACCCGATCTCAGGAACTGCAGTGCAACTTGAGGTGGCGAGGGTTGCAGCCAAGGTATGAAATGCAGTGGGAGATTTCTCTTGATAGGCTCGACTCTTGTTCAGGTTTTTGGAGCAAATCCACCGAGAAGGTCACTTGTATTTTGTCACTGGGATGGAGAAGAGTATGGCTTGATCGGATCATCTGAGTTCATCGAACAAAGACTGGGAGTGCTACAAAGCAGAGCTGTAGCCTATATTAATGTGGACCACATAGCCGGCGGAAAGTCCTTGGATATCAAAGCTGTTCCCTTATTATATCGAACAATAGTGGAAGCTGCACAAAGGTGAGAATGATGCAATGTTACCTCAAAATACCTGAGATTCTTGAAGGACGCCTTATTCCGATAACAATGACGAAAGTCTCCTTGAATTTTGGAGACATTTTCGACGACGAGGTCCTTTTGTTGGAGATCGCGCTGTGCCTGAAATTGGCTTACCTGCTGGAGGATCGGATTATCAGGTGAAAATTCTAGCAAAATGAGCATAGGTAAAAATTGGAGGAAAGGGTCAAAAGTTGAAGATAGTCGAAGCGTTTGTTGATACTAGCTCAGCTTTATGGGGCCAGTGATAATCCTAGATACTCATTACCATTTCTCACCTTGCGCTGAACCCAATTCAATCCTGTGGGCACTGTTTCATCCTTTCTACCTCTATTGTTTTTGCTACACAACCGAAAGCAGTCTCAACAGGGCATTAGGTACGAGGATGAGCTGGCAAGAACGTCAGAGTTGATTTCAACTAGCTTAACTTGAAACATCAATCACTGTTATTGTATGGCAGAGCAGGTCTTGTTAGGAGTCAAACTTTTCTGTAGCGATAATTCAAGAGGTTGAAGGCAGTACCGAAGCTTTTTATAGCTTTTTGGTTTTTTTGGATTGTGGGGCTCCTGCTCCGGTAGCAGAACGATTCGCCACAAGTTGTTCAATCATTGTTATTACCGAATTTTCAACGCAAATCGATATTTCCTCACTCAATTTGACATCAAAGACTATTCTGCTAACGAGGGAGGATCACGAAGTCAAAGTGGCCGATCATGCAAGTCGCATAATTGATGAGAGCTCAAAACGTTGATTTTAAATCTGCTTTCCTTATCTGCAGAGCGCCTTAGTCAGAGAAGTTATGAGCTTTTTTTGAGGCGAAAAAATGAACAGATGGCCTATATAAAATCAAACAGTTAAACCCTTTCCAGACGTGAAATGGAGAAGTAGAAAGTATTAGTGTGTTACCCAGAAGGATTTTATTGTATGAAGTACTCTGGACATCGCCGCTGCTTCATTTGAGTCTAGACAGGCTGTAGGGATGTTTTTATCCCGGCCATCAGTTCATTTTTTGACTCTAAAGAATGCTCATAACTTCTCTCACAAAGGCGCTCTGTAGATAGGATAGCAGATTTGAAAGCTCTGACTAACAGTATGCTGTTTGTGGTGATCGGCCACTTCAACTTCGCGACCCTCCCTTGTAAGAAAAATGATACTCATAATTTCTCACAAACGGGACGCAACATAGTAATTGCAGAGGTTTATCACATTTGCTGGAGTTCCAGCAGCTGATTTGAAGCTGGAACCGAGTCCTGGACAGTCATATGCTCTTTATCATACTATGTAAGTTCGACTAATCAAATGGAGACGACCGAGTATTACAAATGTTCAAGGTTTGAAACTCCGTGGACAGTGGAGAATCTCATTGATCCAAAATTTTTGTCAATGGCTTCTATCGGACGACTGTGGTTGGAGATTGCTCATCGGCTCGCCAGCAGTCTGGTGAGGGTATACTTCATAATCGCGAATGTTGATCAGCTTATAATATTCTTTCTAGGTGATTCCATTCAATGTTCTTGATTATGCACAGTCTCTTCTAGTTCTTTTCCACAAAGTTGAAGTACAAGTCGCGAAGCTGGATATTGCGAGGGAAGCTCCATGGCTACCACATAAGTTGAGTAGCCTCAAAGAAGCTTTGCGGAGATTCTACAACACAGCAAGAAGGATCCAAATGGAAGCGGAGGTGTGGTTTGAGCATCAAATATACAGTCATTGTGGGAACTTCCAAGGATGGTCATCTTCTCCAGAGTGTTCACTTTAGCACTTCCTAGCTTGTTGGTACCAAATAAAATGACAAGTCCATAGGTTTTTTGTTCTATTGATTTCATGTAGTGGTTTCCTTTTCAGGACATTGCAAATGCCGCAACTGACATAACTCCTGAACGACTGGAATCCATCAACCTCCGTCTGCAACACATTGAACGCTCCTTCATAGATTCAAACTCGCAGAATCCATATTACAGGCATTTGGTCTTCTCTCCATCCTCACACGCACCACGTTTCACGTCCTTTTCAAGTATTCTCGACCCAGCCTTAGATTATCATTTGTCTCGCAACGAAACCGATTTGCATAACTTAGCCATGGCTATCACAAAGGTGCAATATGCTGTTGAAACTGCCATTGATACACTGCATTGATAACTGGTTCCCTCTTTCTTTCACGAAGTGAGGCTCATACGTAAGATTAACATTATTCACTTTCATTAGTGGCCTTAATATAGTCGCTGGTTTTTCACGACTAGGATGCGACAATAAGTATATTAGTTTGTCCACTTCCGCCTAGAAGTACGAGTTTGGTAGTCAAATCAGTTTTTATGCGGCATGAGCACACCGCAGGATTCACTTTATATCTGCATGGAATCTCAGTGTATCGAATTTTACGGCCACCGAATATCTGCGTAAAATAGCTCTTGCAGTTAGCTCGATTTCGTGTAGCAATTAGTGTCTTGAGCTGTCGTATTGCCAATTTCTTCTGCCGATCTCCTTTCATCCTTCATTTCTCAAGCAGGGAGCTGTGATGAGTTTTTACCACTGCTATAAATATGTTTTTGCTACATCTTATTCTGAGAATAAGCAGTGATCATAACTTTGCAGACTCATTCACATAAAGAAGAAAATAAATTGCAAACGCCATGGTTAATAACTCGAGTTTGTATATCCGTCCGCGAGTAACGGAAAAATAAGATGTCGCTGTGCTTCTTCAGTAGACCACGCGGATTGCAAGCTGATTCATTAACACTTCTATAGAGGGTTCAGTAAATATTACATACGTTTAGCCGTCTTCAGTCTCCAGAGTTGCCTGTTGCAGTTCAAGTCCGGTTGCGACCAGGGTGAGAGTCCACGAAGTTCGTGCCCTGGCCGCAAACCGCTACAGCTACCTTATTCCTAAACGCGGCAGCGCGCCAGGAATGTTTAGATCAGGGAAACTATCTTCTAGGAAATTTCTACGTATGAGGAATCCGCAACTGCAAGCGTCGACATGGCTTGCCATACTTGATTTGTAGTATTTGCGCCACACTTGGTGGGGAAGAAATTTCCAGTTTAAACCTTCCACTCCATCTCTATGCTAATATTAATACGACTTTTTCGGCAAGGTTAACACTTTATTCTTCAACGATGAAAGTCATCAGATTTAGCGATTTTTAGCTAAATTCTCTTATGTATGCAGTAACTAGGGAAATTCGAAATCTTTTTCATTGAATATCGAGTATATTCGATTGAAAACTTCGAATATCCGGCTACCGAATAATATTCTAAAATCTAAGATCTTGAATCGACTATCGCATATTATTCAAAAATCGAAACGACTTTCGAATGTCATTCAATGTTCGAATATAATTCGAAAAAAATGAATGTCTATGTCATATGATGCATGGCCAAGCACATAGTTTACAACTGCGGGTCTCTGCAGTCCCCTTTTATGCGGCCAGTACTATAGAAACACATATATAAAAATTCGGTTGTCCGGGAAATAATGTCTTAAGGTATACTGCGACAGAGTGATCACAGAAAACAGCCAACGAAATATCATCTAATAGAGCAAAGCAAGCTCTATAAGATAGTTTACAAACCTCCGCGGAAATTTTGCTCCATCTGAAGTTCTAATGCAAGATGGAAAAAATTTTAGATGCCCGAAAGATCGTATCTCTGTTCATAAACGCCTTATGGATCTCCAATTTGTACAGGCATGTGCTCTCCACACTAGACATTCACCTGCATAGTTTGTGGAATTTTTCCACAGCTACAGTACGACAGACAAAAATGGGTCAAAAGTGCGAACATCTCCCATTTTTCGGGTTTTTCAAACAATTTGATTCTTTTTGAAAAACCGGCACTTGCCTTGAGCTGAAAATTCATGGTTATACTCCCAAAGGTTTATACTACAGAATCACTTATTTGGGAGGGGCTTAGGATTGCTTTGGTAAAAATATGCCAACTTTCGTTTTCTCATTTTCCAGCCATGGAAAAACCATAGAGTACGAGGGTCTGGTATAATAGTCCATGCGTAAGCAAGTTAGAGGTTCCTATGATTTTTCGAACGAAGATACGATTTTTTCGTTTTTTAAGATCTTTAATACCTTATAAAATTGGGCTCCAAACTTCACGCAAATCAAACTTGGCGCGAAGGTTCAAGCTTCATTTTTTAGAGCTTGATTTGGCCTATCGTTGGGCCCTATTACTTACTTCCGTGCACCCTGCCGCGACATTGCATGATTAAACGCGATGTGAAAAAAACAAATAAACAACACATTATTTGCCGGATAACCTGCGATATATATAGAACAAACACTAAGAACAAGACAATTTCCTAAGATTTGTTGCTTTCTGAAAGGTCTTAAAACTTCATTGGAGACATCACGAGATTCCAGAATCTAAAGTATACTCAATGACGCTTATGAAAAAGTGATAAAAGATGGTGAAGAAAACCATGAAAATCCTAGCGCCCCGGGCTAGCGAACAATCGATACATATTACGACACGGAAAGCGCGTCACTTCTACTGTATAGACAGCGCCCCTGGACCACAAAACATATGTACTCCCATTGACAATTGTAGCTTGTTAGAAACTTCTACAATGATGTGCTATGCTCTTGGAGTTCGATCACTGATGGTCAACGAATATTCGAGTCGATGTTCATCAAATGATTCGAATATTCGATGGCCATCGAATGATCGAATTGATGACCATCGAATATACGACTTTCGAATAATATTCGAAAGTTGAGATTTTTCGACTTTCAAATTTTATTGAAAATATTTTTCGAATATTCAACTTTCAATATTACTCGATCAGATTTTCAAAAATTCGACTTTTCAAACCATTCGCTTCCGAATGATTTATTCGATTGATCGAATAATTAGACTCGGTCCAAAGTGTGGTATACAGCAGTTCGTGACCAGCAGGAACACTGCTTTACATCAAATTTAAACGAAATGTATGCCATGATTTCAGATTATGTTTGATGCTAAAACAACAAGCGTTTTGCAAAGTCTCACCTTGACCTGCTATGACTTTCATAAAAATCTGCTTTCTCGAATCGGTAAAGACCCGTCAGAAGCAACAAACTTTTGGTAATACAGTGCATTAATTTTAGACTCGTATCACAAACCCGTAAGAAAATGTGGATTGAAAACTTAAAAGCTGTTCTCTGAAACATAAGGATTGCCAGGGTACTTTCATATAAGTTTGAGTTTCACTATTTTGTGTGATCCCCTGGGGATCCCCAGGAAATTACCTCTCATATTGCATTTATCTTCCTACGAAATGAATGAAAACATTGTAGAATTGCGCTGAGAATGTAATATTGCATTGCTAAACATGTTTGTGGTAAAAATAAATGAGATCCCAGAAGATCGAAATCTTCGATGAACCACTGCGCGAGCTAGAAATTATCGAAAAATTCAAAATCTTCAGATTCCATTTCTTCTGTCAAAAACATGCTCAGTACCGTCCGTAGTATACCTCAAAATGTAAGCTGCTTAAAAGCATTGTCCAGGTCAAGTTGGGGGTATTGGGATCTTGAGACAGTTTGAGAGCATGGCTCCTGACTAACGCAACAGTTCAAGTGCGATCGAAAAAGATGGAATGTGAAGCGAGCCTTTTGGCAAGGGATATATTCTGAATCACCTTGAACGACTCCTATGCTATTCCTAGCTGCCGCGCATAATTCCGAAGCGAATTATGGGCTTTTTCTTGCGCAAAATTGCCATACTGCTGAACATGGGGAGGCTGCTTGTGCATAAAAATCTGCAAGGAAAAGTTGCTGAGATATGGAAACAACTCAAATCCAATCTATCTCACTTAACAGAAGCTTAACGCAAGTGTATTAGCCTTCAGATGGTGATATCGTGATGTCAGAGTCAGGTTGTTTCAGAGCCGCAAAGACCGCAGCACTGCAGCTGACCGCACTGACCGCAGGCCGCACAGATCGCTGCATCCTCTAAAGGCGGAGAGGATAAATAGTTGTAGCCCAAATATCAACAACAATATATTCCCCAAAAACAACAAAAGTGAGAGTAAAACAGGTGTATGCAACGACTGTGGGAATCAGAACATATATGAGCACACAAAAGAAAAACTTACGTACTTAGATACTTAGATGGCCCGGCTTCACGTGACGTGCGGGCCCCAGCTCAGAAGTTTCCATTTCTCCCTGTCCCTCGCTTCTGACATCCACGATCTTCTTGGCTGACGTCGGTGGCTGCGTCCACGAGTTCTAGGTGCAAAAATCGTATCCAGCTGATTTCTCAGCTGGTCCATCCGCTCCACGAACACGTCTGCCCATCTCGTTGGTGGTCTTCCTCGGGGACGTTTTGCTTCGCGAGGAATCCACTCCGATGTTCTTAGTGTCCATCTGTCGTCTGTTCTTCTCTCGATGTGACCGGCCCCCCACAATGGTCGGTCGCTTCATCGTGGCGTGGGGGTAACACTGGGTGTTGAACTGCGATGCACAGCCGAGTGTATACTCTGGTAGGGCCTCCCAAGCTGTGAAGGAGTTCGACGTTTCCGATTTCGGCCGTATGCCTAGCTAAGAACTGGCCACGCCAGATCCTCCGCCGTCTGGCTTCTTCTGGTCGCTAAGCGGTCCCTCCCCGCTCCAAGCCCGGGGTCAGCGATCGCCCCGTGGAAATCAAGAGTAGGCCTAGTAAGCCACCTCTTGTAGGGGAACAAATTTCATTACTCAGACAGCAAGAAAATTTAGAAAACACCCTGTACATCGGATCCCGCCTACGGCGCCGGGTGGTAGCAAGAACGATGTCAGGGTACTCAGGGCGCCTTTCCGATTGGACAAAAACGACACGTCTGCCCGGACGACACGCCATGGAGATTGCCTCATGCTCTGCACCTACAACGCCAGGACAGTCTCCAGAAACGCCGACCTCCACGCTCTTCTCGGCGCTGCAGAGCGCATCAATTACGACATCATCGCTCTGCAGGAAACGAAGTCCAGGAAGAAGGACGTGCGACAGATGAGTGATGGGACCCTCATCATTCGTGGTGAAAAGGTTCCATCACGAAACGTGGGAGGCGTCGGCTTTGTCGTCCACCCATCTATCGTCCATCTTGTCGATTCGCACGAGATCCTATCACCTCGACTAGGCATCCTACGACTACGACCTCCACACCAGAAGACCATCAGCATCATCAACTGCTATTCTCCAACATCAGCAGCTGACGAATCAGAACTAGATGCTTTCTACGAAGACGTGGAGGAGGTCGTCCGCAACGAGAAGTCCTTTTATAAGTTTGTTGTGGGCGACTTCAACGCGAAAATCGGGATGCCACTGGAAAAGGAATATAGGATCGGGAAGTTTGGATATGGGCTCCGGAACGAAAACGGCAACCGTCTTGTTGGGCTTCTCTCCGCCGCACGACTTTTCCATGGAAATTCCATCTTTATGAAGAAAGAACATCGCCGGTGGACATGGGAATCGCCCAACGGAACGACCCACGCGGAGATCGACCACATTCTCACCAACCGAAGGTGGAGCTTGCTCGATACCTCAGTAGTTCCATCCTTCCGCAGTGGCTCCGATCACCGCCTCCTTCGAGC